AACCCACCGATTTCGATTAGTGACAAATGGGTTTTGAGTTGTTAGTGCTTGAATGATTTATATTGGGTTTATTGAATCTATTGTTCTTTTTAGGCACTCTGAAAGCTCTATGGCACTATTGGATGGTAAGATCAAACTTACATTCCCCATCTCAGTGTTTTATCTCCGAGTGGTCAGTGCCTATGATACCAACCAAGATAGCATCCCTCCAGATCTTGTCCATTCCAAACATGAACTCTTTTTGAACCCATGCCTTTGCCGAAACAAAGATATGACATCAAAGAGAAAGAAAGTACAAAGTAGAAAGAGATTTCCATTCAGAGTGATCAGTGACCAGAACAGCAGTAGTACCTGTCTTCCTAGTCTGTGAGTTCAAGGCTGGCCCGAATGAACAGACAGAGACCAGAGTAAGCCAGAGATGGAGGGACATGCAATCTCAGACTCTTCCAGACACTGTAGAGCTGATGCTCGGCACTGGAGAAATTCTACAGTGACTGGAAAAGTCAACAAAGCAACCATCTGCAAGAGAATTGATTCTATCTACCATTTGCATGTTTAAGCTTGGAGCGTTAAAACCGACAAAGAGGTATTTGCATTCTCTCTTTAGTCATTTGCAAAGGCAATTCAGGAATGACAAGAGTGTGTGCTGTGAAAGTCAGTTCAGGACATTTTTTGATGGATTCACATGTCATGTCTTGTGTCCCTTTGTCCCTGATTGTGCATTCAACTTTTTCTAACATATACGTTAGAGAGTTATGTAAGGTAGTATGGTATGTATCTGTGTGTGTGTGTGTGTGTGTGTGTGTGTGTGTGTGTGTGTGTGTGTATGTGTGTGTGAGTGTGTCTACTTTGTTCCCTAAGGCTCTGTGAGTGTTCTGACAATTATGTTCAATTATCAGTGCGTCCTGCAGAGTACCAGGACATGGAATGGAAGAATCTTAGACGGCAAACAAGAGAGAAACATGCAAGTGGACATTGAGATGAGATATTGTTGAAAGAGTAAACAGTATAAGCCCCCAGGCTGTCCTATGAAACGGACAGGATTCTACATGCTATATGACTGTGAGAGTGCACTTTGTTATACTACAGTAAAAACACACAACCAGTTCAACCTACAGTTGAGAGGAATACAGATGATTTATATGTGTTGACACTTCAGACATGCAGTTTATGGCCTGGAGTCTGGGTCTAAAAAACTCAGGTATGAAGCCATAATGTGAAGACAACAAAAAGTCAAAACACTGTCAATAAAATCATGTATAAATATTTGCAGTGGACACGTTAAAGGGATTACTTCATGTCTACAGTTATAATCTGTTAATGGGGATTAGTTTGACTAAGAATACAATTGGCAATTGGTGTTTTTACTCTCTCAAGGCACACTGTCTGCGAGTTGTGTTGAGTTCTAGCTACTTTGAAATGCTTTACACACCCACGTAACATGCAAAGGAGGAAGAGTAGCACATGCACAGAAAATACTGAAAGTATTTTGCTGTTATACTGATATATGGTCCACTGATAATATCTTCTAAAATATTTTGACCAAAAAATGAAAAATATTTAAATCGCCTCCTAATAATAATTTTAGTGTAGTTGGTGAAAATTGTTGATGTTATGAAGGCCATAGAATAAAAAGCAATTACAGTTTGAAAGAGCCCCTTAACTTTGAGAACGCGAACACACAGTGTGAGAATCAATGCAGGTCAATGCATTACTAATAACTAACACAAATCATGTAGGCCAGTCCTGTAGTCAAATACTCCAAATAGACAAATAATGGTTGTAGGTAGAAGAAGACAACCTGCCATTACCGCGACGCCACCTCACCACATATAAGACTTTAATGTATGGATTTAACTTTTGATATGAAATCTCTCCAGAAGATCCCGTAGAACCAGTTATTTTCTCATCGTATGCCATTAACAGCCCCGTGATGAACAGGTCCAGGATGTACCGTGCCTCTCACCCAATGTTAGCTGGGAGCAGCTTGAGCTTACTTATAATGGATAGATGGATATGCCATTGAAATAAAGGTTGTTATGTACAAAATTTACAAAAAAAATTTTTAGTTTCACCTAGACGTCTTTTCTGGGCTGTGCTGTTACTGCATCAGCTACTCCAACTGTAAACCTCTATTTTGGAAAAAATGAAAAGTAAAAGCGTCAAGCTTCTGCTTTCATTAAATACATTTTACTTTCATAAAGCTCCATTAAAACCTCTTGTTTTGATTGCATTCTAAGCAGCATTCTGACAAAGGACCGACCATGGACCGCTAACGACGAGTGATCTGCCTACAAATCACTGCCACCTGGCTGATGTTCTGCTAGCTTGTAATTATACATTTCCAGGCCGAAAATTCACATTTTATAGTGTGTGTTTCAGATGTTTATTAAATGATGCTTTTCTTCTGATTACAATGACAGGAATCATGGTGTTTGATGATTTAAATCATAAGCCAGCGAATAATTCCTGCTGAGTTTAATTAGCAACTCCACAGCACTTTCACATCCAGACCGTGGAGGTCGGAGAGAAGTGGTACATTTATGTTCTTTTTTCCCAAAACCTGTGTCACAACATTTCAGACTAGTGCTTTGAGTCTACATAACTTCCACATTCACACAGACCACCTTCATCTGTCAAAGGGGGCACACGCTGACCGTAACACCTCTGCTTTCACTGTCAGTGTAGGTGGCACTTGTGAGTGCGACACATAAATCGGTCACCCGATTTGTCCGTACCTTAACATGAAGCTTTTTTATCCAATAACACACATTTGAAACATTTGACAATATATTTATGATTAAATGGAGCCATGGTGTTTTTATATTAGACAGTGTTAGCCCAGATTACTATTTTGCCACTGCTTTCTCTATCTGCTTGGTTATGTTGTTCCTTTGCTGCATCTGTGTTAAATATGTTGTTGAACCTATTTTTGAATTACCCAACTGAGCCCATGACAAATGATGTATTCATTTTGCATCTTGACAATTAAGTTTAATTTAGTTTTCATCACACTTTTAATCACTTTTATTCCCTGTTTTTCATCGTTTGCCAAACTGTTATCACAGTACCTACAACTCATATGACCAAGTCCAAGCACTGGTAGTTGCCGTTGATAGTTGAAATTGTGTTTGTAAGGTATGCATTTATGTTTTAAAAGCTTTTGTAGCCTTGAAATTAGCAGTGACTTTGAGCTACAAGAACAAAAGCAAGACACACCACTATAGATATTTAGTAAATCACTACAAGGAGGCTGAAAAGTATGTGTAGTATGTCTGCAGAGCTGTTACTGCATTTATAATAGTGAAGTACTTATTTTCTGAAAATGATCAGCCTTTGAATTGTATTTGAATTTATAACACGTACACCATCTCATTTAATCAAATGTAGTTCTTTAAAAGCAAACTGCTAGAAGTGGTGCACTGCAGTGTGAAGGTTATGCAGTATCAAGGGATTATGGGATGTGTACTGAAGTCAGGTAAGGTGAACAACAAGCCAAACTCCTAAAAAAGTTGCTGTAGTCTTTTTGTAAGTATTGTAAAGTGAATTCATGAAATCTGTACTTTAAAACCCAAGTGCATACTTTGGCATGGAAGAGTGGAAAAATTGTAAATTCCTCGCACTATTCATTTCCCAATTTTTTTTCCGGTCCCGTCCCTCTCCTCTTCCTCTCCTTCACTTTTCATTACTCTTTTCCTCTGCACTATTTTCTTCTCTTATTCTTCCACCCACACTAATCCTATTTTATTCAAGACATACTGTATAATAGAACACAATATGCAGGACCTTGGCTCTGATAGTGTTTCTAAGGGCCTCCACATTGGCTGGGCCCCAGCTAGGGTTGAGTAGTCCATCGTCTGCACCATCCACCATCTCTCGTCCACCTCAGGCCATTCTGGGTGCTGAAAGTGGCTGCGGCCAGGCTTGCGTCACTGGAGGGTTGAGAAAGCAACGTAAATGTCAGAGGAATTAGCTGCCTTGCCGGCGCCCACGGAGCCCGGCATGACAATGGGTGGGAGAGGAGAGAGGACAGTGGGTACAGTAGAGCATCCGTAAGCTGCACCAATCCACACTGCTCTCAACTCACCTCTACTTCTCCCACCCTCTCTTCTTGTTTTTCTTTTCTGTCTGTATTTCTCCTCTCTTGCCAAGTCACTGCCCCCCCCCCCCCCCCCCGTTCTCCCTTACACTCTTTCAGTATCACTGTCTCGCCCACCTCGCCTCTGCCCGCAAGCAGTTTGGAGCAGATTATAGCCCTGCCACCCCCACTCGCCCATATACACAAACATTCACTCTGGCGCTGACGCACGCACGCACGCACGCACACACAAATACGCACACACACACATAAGCACACACAAACACATGTTGAGACTTTGTGTATCTCCGCCACCTACAGTGCCACTACATCATCCTCTCCCAGCAGCGCTCAAGCATGAACTTGTTTAGAACATCCTGTCCAGTCCAAATGTGGTCAGACATGTGACAAAATGCCCCCGCGAGCCAAATAACCAAACATACCCATTATCAAAGTCAAACAGACACCTCCTCTGACAGTAAAGGTTATATCAGAGGTGAACCGCAATGCAAGCAGTAATTAGATGTCCAACAGAATCAAGCTGTTTTTGTAATCACATGTTTACTGAGTGTAGTGGTAACGCAAACCCACAATTTAGATCCATGGACTCACCCACAAAAAAATGAAAGTTTTTAGGGCAAAAAGAGAAAAAAATATCTTTGAACATTAGTTATCTAGTAAACCTTTTAGAAAGTATTGCTGTGTAAAGTAAAACCTTTTCTATAAAACCTATTGCATGTGCATTATTGTGTTGTGTGTTCTTACTGACTTTAACCAGGCTAATGCACTAAATGACACTTTTAACTGTTTCTTCACAAAGCCATCATCAAATCTTTTACAGAAAGGGGGCAGCAATGCAGAGGCAAAGCAGGCACTGAGGTGGAGTTTTGGCAAAGGGGGAGCATTGTGTGTGCATGTCTTTGTGTGTGTGTTTGCATGTGTAAATATGTGTGAGTGTTTCTGTTTTTTTCGTGAGCATGCATGAGCTCTTCTTTGTTCCGTCTGCCATTCTGGCCCCTGTGTAGCCGGTGTTTGCTGCACACTGTACGGCTGAATAGGGACTGCGTGGGCCTGACCTGCGATCTCACCGCCCACCACTCGCACAGACACACAGCCTGGGAAACAGCCTCCATTTTAGCCTGTAAGAAAGAGTGTGTGTTTGTGTGTGTGTGTGTGCATTTGCAGGGTAAATACGAATCATCCCTTCCTTTTCCTCAATGTCGCTCTTTCCCTCTCTGTGTGTATGTGTCTCTCCCTTATCATTAGTGTTTCTACATCCTCCTCAGGGGACAGCGAGGACTGCAGCTGTCCCTATGACAACCTCAGTGCTACTGTCAATCACTATGGCTGCCTTATCCTCCTTGGCTTATATACTATGTAAGTGGCTACCTCGGCTTTGACAGGTGTGCAGCTGGCACGTCACACAACTGTATAGCTCACATCAACAAATGCACGCTACATGACTAACCCACTGATATTAAATTCATGTTGTGCATCTCTAACAGTGTTTTTGTCATCTGCTTGCCACTTTCCTTCTTCTTATTTTGTTGTCATATAGCACACTGTGTGTTTATATGCTGCAGCATTAAATGGATAATCATAGATTCATTGATTCAATCCACGTGGATGAATGGAAGTGTGAAACACAACTTTGTCATATGTAACTCTGAGAGTAGCGGTTGTTATTGATGTGTCTAATCCAATGGCAATGCACATGTGTGAGTAAGTGTGTGTGTGTGTGTGTGTGTGTGTGTGTGTGTGTGTGTGTGTGTGTGTGTGCATCCCAAACTCTACAGTCTGTTGGTAATGAGTGCCCTGAGCTCTCCCTACTACACCTAACTGATCCAGTAATTGCTTTTCCTCCTCTGCATTTATCATCATCTGCCCGGCCTGTCATGTTAGCTGAGCTGAGCTGAGCTGAGGTGGACTGAGAGGGGTGTAGGACTGCGAGGCGGAGAAGGTGGTGTGTCTGTCTGGATGTAGCAAAGGTATCGGTCCACCGCCTCGGGCGGTGGGACTGGAGATGTGGGGATGAGGGAGGGAGGGAGAAAGGAGGAAGAGAGAACAGGGGAACGGGGGAGGGAGGGCAGTGATATAGCAGTTAATATTAACTATGACCATCATCATAATGCAAATAACCAACAATTACATTTTAATGAAATCATTAGAGTTTTTCTATCCTATTCTTATTTTAAGCCTCTATCCTCCAAAAAACCCCATCATTTTACAACTACTTAGTAAGATGTGTGCTATACGTTTGCATAATAAAAGTTAACAGACTTGTCAGCTCAAATTGCTGGTTAGAGCTTATAGATAATAACCACCATGAAACCTGAGGTGACACCAAGATGGCCACTGTTATTTGTAGGTAAGAGTTAGGGACAATAGTCGGCAAACACACAAAAATGTGGTGTATACACACACACAAACACACACACACAGAGACTGGCCAGAAGATTTAAACAAATAGCCTCCTTTTTGCAAGGCCTGCAAATGGTGTGCGTGAGTGTGTGTGTGTGTGTGTGTGTTTGTGCGTCCGTGAGAAAGAGGGCGCATACTGTATGTGGGGGAGGGCGTGCTGCTGCTGCTAGTGGGGATTTGATGCTGATGAGCTCTGTAATGGGAGTGAACAGGGAGCGTGAGGGGAATATATTGGAACTTTATTGGCAGGCCGATGCTCCCTACGCATTGCAGTATGTGTGCCTATTTATTCCCCCATTTCAACGTGCCTTTGCTTTGACCTTTCTCCAGCCAATGACAGTAAAATACCATTGCCTCTAGAGAGCTTCACATCAGCTACTGAGCCCCCCCTATATGATTTCCTCATTTATTTTTTTCCTTATCGTTCCCCACAGACACACACAAGCCCAAGCTGCAGTGCTTCATCCACGAGGAAGGGAACGACTTCAGACTGAAATGAATTGTACCTATGCCATCGTGTAAATGATCACAGCTTTGACTATGCAAATTCAGGGGCAGAAAGAATGAGACGCAGTCCAGAGAGGAGGCTGATTAAGAGAATACATCAACTCATATTCAGGCTCAAGGATCATCCATGTATTTGCTGATGCTTTATACACACCAGCCAGTCAGGGAAACATGACATGCCATAATTGTCATACGAAAACCTTGTGTGAAAACTTTGTATCTCTGTTTTTGTCTTGCAGTCACAACCAAAAGAAGGTAATATTCTGTATTTTTCTTACTGATAAAAAATTAGAAGACAAAGAACAAAAGGAATAATCTAAAGTATTCTAAGTATTAACTGTGTGTCAAACGTGTAATATACCTTATTTTCTGTGCTTCAGACTTCCATTATCATCCAAAAAATTTTTTAAAAACACATCAATGAGCCACACTGTTGCACTGGTGACATGTTTTGTCATTATTGTGAGCATGAGCACTGCTTTGAGTCAATCCCACATAAACCATCCTACCTTAAATAATTGCTAGCCAGCTGTTTTTTTAAATTTTGCTTTTTCTTTCACCTTAAGTATTGTGTTGTTTAAGGGGAAGTGAGTCAATTTTACACATAAAGGTCTGTTTACAGGTTCTGGGACGCACTACTGTGTATGTGAAAAACGTGGTATAAAAACCTTTACGGCGCCATAGAATGAAATCTCATGAATTGCTGATGAAGTGATTTTACTTAAGTCAACGTTGGTTGGAGCTAAAGACAAGTTTGAACATCTGGAGGTATGGAGTTAGGAAGAAGTGACCTTACCAGACTTCTTTAGCCCGCTCCTCATCTCTGCTTGAGGCTAGCAGCTCGAAGCTACATTAGCTGCTACTAGCATAACACACCCGAATGTCTGACCCAAATAGGTTGCATTGTGGGCACCACGGTTTGACAAAGTGTAATTTGTGAGTGTTATAGGAGTGTAACACTTAATGTCTCTAACGAATGGGTTTATTGCAACAGACAAGCTGAGGAAGTCGGAAAGTACTGAGAGACAGACTAATGCAGACTAATGGTTTTGGTCTTTTGATGGGATTACTTTTACCTTACTTTTTACAAGTGATTTTCTTGAATCTTGAAAATCAGAAATTGTGGTTTTCATCAAAATAATAGCAGCAATGTAACATTAATACAAATTGACTCTCAAGACCAGCCTGTGTTTCTGCAGAGTTTCCATGAACAACAGAAGACTACACACACACACACACTAGTGTTGTTAAGTCTAACATGAGTGTGTGAACACAGTTAGCACAATTGTGGTTGTGGTCTAAACGTCAGTAATAGGTAATAATCCCAATGGTGAAACAACCCTATTCAAAAACAAACATGTTGCCCAGCATGGCTGCCTCAAACAAAAGGAATACATTCAGCCAAAAAGCAGATGGAAAACACACCCTCTGTCTCTTCTCCTCCCTCATCCTCTATCCTCCCGTCTCCCCTCCCCTCTTCCTAAGCCCTCACACACGCACACAGACACACCACCACCGTCCTCCCTTTCCCCTTTCCCCCATAAATCCATCCTCCCATGCGATACAGATGTAGGCAGCACAGCGGTAATAGGAAGAGGTTAAGCAGTGTTCACCCATGAAGCAGGCAGAAAGAAAAGGCAGGAAGCATGAGATGACGCTAAAAATAAATGTATCCTTGGGTAAGAGAGAAATGCTCAAAGGTCCTAAAATAGCTGGTCAAACAAAGGCATGAATAAACTAGAATGAGTGTGAGAGGTTTTTTTCAAGAGGAAGCCCCTCTCTCTCTCTCGCTCTCTCTCTGTCTCTCACACACACACACACACACAGCAACTCCCCGGTTGCTAGGTTACGACACTTGTGGCCGTCATCCACAGTCTGACGGGTGCTTTTTGCATCTGCAAAAGGCAGCCTTCTTTTTCATCCATCATTTGAAATTTAAAAGAGCAGGAATGGAAACACATGCATTGTCAATTAGGGGAACACCAGGCACAGTATGAGGGACATCCTACGGATCAATTTGTACAAAGACGGCTTCTATTTCAGATGTACCATGGAAACAGAAGACTCTTAATTACCTCAACTAACAGCCACAGCGGGAGGACTTGAAGGGAAGTGGAAAATTTCAAATCCTGCTTGTTTGTTCATGTGTATCTGTTATTTATAGTGAATATCAATGCCAATTTTGACTTGTCGTCCATCACTGAGGCAACACTAAATACACTGTGACAAGAAGTCATTTTGTAACACCAGGTGGGTATTTGCTTTTTCTTTTAGATGAGGACACATTTTCATCGGAAGGCAACATTTTAAAACCCTTTATGTATCTGTCTTCTGCTTTGTCATGCTTTTGGCACAAACTGGTGACCCATTTTACAGTACCCCAGGGAAAGTACTCACAGAAATAGATGGGATGAGGTGAAGTAAAGACTGACTTATACAACTGACTTTTGTGAGGCAAAATAGCCCTTACATCCTCACTAAATGTCACAGTTCAACTCCATATACAGCTTTTTCAGAGGGCATAAATCCTCCCTTATCTGAAACACAGAGTGAGAAGCTGTTCATCAGTAAAGGTCAGTGTGCTTTGCTGATTGATCATGTGCCAAGTACCATATCGAATATGAATGAACAGACCAACTGGTATTACACATAGGTCATTTCCTAGCACATTTATCAAAGCATCCGCTGTGTAAACATTTCTCATAACTCCTCTCACCCTTTAACTCACTCACTCCTTCTGCAAAAACACAAAGCTAGGAAGATCACATAGAAATTACAACAAATTATAAAAACTGTTATGCTCTTCTAGTAGACTTAGATTCATAATTAACACAACAAAGAACAAGAAATGTAATGTGAGTTCTCTTAACCCTGAAATGTTAAACCAGCATGTCATTTAGAGTTATTTGCAATCATGTAACTGTGTTCCGTAATGCACCAGTGTTGCAAACACACACACTCACAAAAAAGCACACTAACTCAAAGGCATGATAAAAAAACGTGCACACGCCCTTGCCTATTAGAGACTCGAGTTCAAACAAGTCTACTCCACAGGGCAGGGCCCATATTTCATCGGGGAGGGAGGGTCAAAGTTGAAGCCCCAAGGACATGCCGTTTCCTCTCCCTCCCAGGGTTCCAGAGGGTGAGGCGGACATTGTTTACTGGACACTAAGTCTCCCTGGTCTCATTCTGGACGGGAGGGAGTTGGCTCGCTTTCAGAGCTTGGCTAGTCAAGGTGATTTAAACCACCTAAAGCCCAGGCTTTACGGACCAGGCCTGGCTCCCCATTCCTCCAGTTCCTGTCTTTCATTCGTCCCCCAGTAAAAAGATCACAGTCCTTGTGTTTCAGTATTTTCAGGAGGTTGTTATTGTGTCCTTGGGAGCTGATTTACAGGGTAACCTTGTGCGCTCTGAGCTTCTTTCATTGGTTTTGTTCTTCTGTCTTTAATTGTGGACTGTAGTACGGTGGCCCTGTGGTGCAAAACACATTTCAGAAAACACATTAAGAAAGTAAAACAGTATACAAATATACAAAGAAGTGGTAGGTACTTACTCTTTCTGATTGGATGTTTGTGATGACTAGAGCAGGTGGCTAGAGCAATCAGCCCAGTATCCCTTAGGGATAACATCCATATTGGATCATTTGATACCTCACAATTTACATATGTTATGCAAACATACAGTTGCAAGGTGGGAAGTAGCTTGCCATTTATAGTGAGGTGAAAAAGTAAGACTTCGAAGCCTGAGGTGGTGGATGGGTGTGCAGCAAATGCAGGAGACTGGAGTTTGTGTCCTGCAATTTATGCCTTTTTATTAACTGTAATCATGATTTTCCCTTATCCTCAACCATACTTCATTTACCTTCCCTAACGTGAATCATACCATAGTTGCCATGTACATAAATTATACAAAACAACATTTAGCATAATCGGGGGTTGTGGAAAATCCTCCAATATCAACAGTGTTGTCTGGGGAAAGAGTCAAAGCAGTTGGAGGTAAAGGTAAGGTCCACTCTGTTGTGTGTGTTCCCCTGACAGGTGGTTGCACTACATTTGTAGTTCCTAAAGTGGTGCCATCTTCCCTCTGAGGATTGTCTATTAATGTATTTATTTATAACGTGTGGTTTTGAAATAAAGAGTATATGAGACACACTGGTTTGTAACAGTGTCTCCGGCAGCCTTGTTCCTTTAACGCTAGGATAGGCAATTTATTTCACAAGCATTTTGTGTTATATTTGTTTAAATTCTCGGGAGCAATCAAATCAAATGCTCTGACACAAAAATTAAAAACATCTGGTATCTGTGGCTGTTGCAGGACTGTAATAAGCAAGGCCAGTCATTTCATTCGATCTGAATGAAATCATTGGCTGGCCTACGTGCCTCTCTACCTGCCCACCTGTGCGCACTCTGCCCATACACCCATTCCACGTGAAAATGTGCTTTGGAGAGTCTCTTTCGAGGGAGGCTTCAAACATGTATCATGCAGAACCAAAACTCCATGTTCACATATACAGACTTGAAGGGGCAGGCTACCTCTTGTCTCTCACGAGCTTGAGCTGGTGATTTACATACTAAGCTCTGATATGGCAGTGATTCACCACTGTCCTGGTGCTTGACAAAATAGTTCTTTTCCCGAGCGATGTGTCTCCACACATTGTTTTTCTATATCAAGTCCTGGTTGCGTGTTTAAGTTATATCATAGAGAATCTGGAGGCTTTTTTTTTTTTTTTAACTGCTTTTTACTTTGTTTGAACATAAACAACCTCTGTTTCCTGAGGGAATCATAATGATTTCTCAACTTCCACATGCTGCACTGCTGGGTGACTTTTGAATATTGACTTTCTGTGAGCAGAGCCAGGATATTATTTTAGTGTTTTATTCACAATGAATGGCATCCTGTCGCCCCTCCTGTGTTTGAGTCCATATGTGTGAACAGGGGAGGCACTGGGGAGTTACATAAGGTCACCTGGACCATGTGTATCTACTTGCAGAAAAACTAAATAATTGCATCTTCTGATGCAAAAGTCTGATTCATGGCCAAACACTGTTCACACTTGTTCAATGATCATACACAGCCTAAATATGATAAAACAAATGTGACTGTATTCATATTGTGTGTCTGAAATATTAATGTGTTTTCTACAATGTGGTTATTTCTTCAGCTTTGTATATTTTTGTTTTGCACATCAAGGCCACCATACAGCTGAGACCAGAGTGCACACACAGACACACACACACATCAGGACTCAGCGCTTTTGGACAGAGCTTTGCCTCTGGCGAGCAGGCAGTAAGGCAGGAGATGAAATGTCTTATTAGGGAGCGAATGGGAACCAGACGGGCCTGAGCTGGGCCAGGTCCTCTATTAACCTGTCCTTCCACGGGAGAGGCTCGTAAACAAGGTAGTGATGGCAGGAAGGACTGGGGGAGTCGGATTGGAGAGGGTTGTTATGGAGGGGGGGAGAGGAACCTCA